CATAGGAATGCAAAAGGAGAAGAAGGCATCGTCTTACCAATTTGGTTGCCTGCTAAAGCTATGGATAGGTTTGCGAAAGAGTTGGATGCCATGTTTGGCAACCAAAACCAATCTAATACCGGTAGTCCTAGTTTAAGAATGTCTACCTTATAGTTCATGTCGGAAGTCTCAAATATTCCAAACACTTTTAAAAATAAAGACCGAATTGATATTATCCAACGAAAATGAAGAAAAAAAAATATTAAACCTTAAAATTTATGTTTTATTAAGTTTCTCCAATTCTAACTTTTGTCGATTACTTTACTCATTCTCTTTAGTGAACTTCAAATAATATGATTCTTTTTTTATTAAAAGATAGGCTCAATATATTTTCTTTTGACATCAAACTTGTAATTTTTAGAGCACTGTGTTAGTTGCAGCAAAAATTTTAAAATCAACGTTTTGTTATTATACACTTGAATAGGTTTGCCTTAGTTATACCATTTCATATGGAGGAAAAATCTGATACATAATTGGACATGCATGATCCATCACATGAACAAGAAGTAAAATTAATAAACTAAGTCAAGCTTTACAAGTCTAAACGTTGAATGAATTAAAAAGTAATTGGACAGCTTCACAGCTAAAAAAATCAGAACCAAAATATGGAAGACATATGAAACCGGCAACAAGAATTGGGAGTTACAAAGAGGGATATGTTATCTGGAAAGTTTCATCATGATGCAAGCAAATTAAAAATTATTAGATAATAGGAGTACAGCTGTAAAGCTTAAATCATAAGATTTTACACGTTAATTTCAAATCAGAAGAAGAATGAGACTACAACAAGTTTTTTTTTTCTTTAAATCTGATATAGAATCCACTTTGAACTTTGTCAACGTTTAAATTTTGTCAATAAAAAATGTATTGAAATGATACAGCTAAAAGTAGAGGAATGAAAGGAGTAGTACTAGGTGTCATGGCAAGAAGGAAAACAATAAAGAAATAGAGCAAAAGAATTTGAGAATCTGTCAGAAAGTGCACGGTCTTACAGAGAAAAGTATACTGATGGAATAAAACAAGAAAAATATTCTTTCATCTGTCTAAATTTTTTATTGCTGTTTTTTATTTTTTTATTTTTTTATTGAATTAAATATGTTTTTTTCCTTAATTTTAAGAAAAAATTAGAATTAGTTTTTTTTTCAAAACTTTGACCTAATTTAATTTTTAAACTTTAGAAATATGTAAATTTAGTCAATTTAACTAAATTTTGTTAGATTTATTTGATATTTTAAGTACGTTTCATGATAACATTTGAGTTGTTTACATCATTTGATATATTTTTGCTTCAATGTTAACTGATAAATGTATTTGAAACATAAAATAAAATTAACAAAATTTAGTTAAAAGAATTAAATTCACACATTTATAAAGTTTAGGGACTAAATTGGTCTAAAATTTAAAGAGAAACTAATTTCAATTTTCAATGAAAGTTAAGAAACCAAAAACATATTTAACCATTTTTTATTCTATCTTTCTTGAAAAAATATAAAAATTTACGCTTTTACAACTTATATATATATATATATATATATATATATATTATAATTATTTTATTCTTTTATTTTGTATAAAATGAATGTAAGAATATGTACTATTATTTATAAAATAAATTAAATAATGCACTGCATGACAGTGGTGATCACGAAGAGTACAATCCAGTAGCATTGAATGCAAAAAAAATGGTTTTATGGAACATGATCCATGTGAAGAGGGAATAATTCATAAGAAAATTTTTCCACTCCTGAAATGCGTCAGGCTTTATTATTTGAAAGCCATAAGATAACATAGAGTTACTTCCTCCACGACCATCACTCCATGCCTAATTTGCTTTTCTATAAAACAAATGTCAACATCCGAATGTTAACATCCGTAAACGGAAACATTCGTTTACATATTTTATATTTTAGTTTATTGTTTTTACTTTAAAACAAAAAAAAAAACTTCAACCAAGGTGCCACATCCGTTTAATAGATTTTTAAAAAGTATTTTATTTATTATTTAAATAATAATATA